GTCATGAATACGTAACCCAGCTTCCTAAAGGGCTGTGCACAGGGCCTTATGGGCACACTAGTGACTGGGCCTCGACTTCTGTATCTATAAATGGGCATGATTCCACCACAGGCAGGAGAAGAAAACGAATGATCTAGGAAATCCGAGCTTCCTTCACACTATAGCATGGCTGTAACAAAACCCCAGAGACCCTGTCCTCCTCATTTTTCCCACGGCAAACTAATAATCAAAGTCCCTGCAGACACACTTCAGGATCGGGGGCCCCCAAGATCACACAGGAGGTTCTGACTTGAATAAAGTAGGCTTGGATCATGCAACACTGGCTCTTACACAAGACTGCCAAAGAAAAGTCCTGGGGCCTCACTGGGGCTGCCCCGGCACCCACAGCAGCCTGACATCGAGTACTTGTTGCACGTCCAGCTTCCTTTTGGAGCTGGGCCTGGTGTCAGAATTGTATTGACTGCTGCTGCTCTTCTGTTTTCACATACTTTTATCTCATGCTGGATTAATTTTGGATCCCAAAGCCATTTATAATCCTGATACGCTCTCTCGGAGCCTCAAGGGAGGAAGGAGGTTGAGTTGGGCATGGCCATTTCACAGAGAGGAAAATCCAGAGCCCCAGGGTGGGTGGAGAATCTGGACAGGAGTGAGGGGACAACCTTGAGTGGGACAGCTCTGAGAACAGCGCCCGCTTCTTTTCTCCCCTCTCCTATCTCTAAAGAGTCCAGTTACCAGACATGGCCTATGAACAAAGTCACCTCCAGCACAGTTATGGATTGAATTGTGTCCCCATCCCCCCACCCCTGCCCCCCAAGATAGGCTGAAGTCCTACCTCCTGTACCTGTGAACGTGACCTTGTTTGGAAATATAGTCTTTGAAGGTGTTATCAGTTAACATGAGATTATACTGGATTGGGGTGGGTCCTAATCCTATCTGAGGGGTGTCTTATAAGAGAAGGGACATGGAGACAGATATGGACAGGGGAAGGATGGCCGTGTGATGACAGAGGCAGATGTAGCTGCAAGCCAAGGAACAGCAAGGATTGCCGGGAGCAAGCAGAAGATAGGAGAGAGACATGGAACGGTTTTTCTCTTGGAGCCTTCAGGAGAAACCAACATGGCCAACACTCTGATTTGGACTTCTAGTCTCCAGAACTGTGAGACAATATATTTCTGTTCTTTAAAGCCACCCACACTGTGATATTTTGTTACAGCAGCCCTAGAAACTACTATAACCCACAACCCCCAGTTGTGCTCTCTGAGGCTCTTACCGTTCACCCCATTCTCTCCCCTCAAACCAAAATCCCATTTCCTGAATCCACCTCAACAGTGACTGAGGAGGGAAATGAGCTTATCCCTTGGAGCCCACGATACACCCTTCTTTGCTTACACCTGGGAACAGTCTTGGCTGGGGGAGGTAGAAGACCTTTAGACTCCTAAACCAAGGGATGGCTCTGTGGGGCATAAAGAGGACAGTGTGTGGCATTGCCACATAATGGTTGAGCACAGACTTTGGAGCTAAGCAGCTCTGAGCCCAAATCTTGGCTCCAACACTTAATAGCTGTATGACCCTGGGCAAGTCACTTAACTTCTCCTCAGGGAGGTCTGTTTCTTCATCTGTGGGATTGTTATGAGGATAAAATGAGAATGCAGATACAGCACTTAGCACGTATCTGGGACACAATTAGAGCCTGAATATGGCAGCTGCTGGCATGATCTCATGGAGAGAAAACCTAGCCATTGGGCTGTTCTGGTCCTCTAGGACCAAGCTTTCTCTTTCGATAACCCTGGGGTCAGGAGGATGGAGGTCTTTTCCACATTTGACCCTTGGCATTTAAGGTCTTGGGTCATTTCTGGTGTTCCCTCGGCATCTTGGGTATCTCATGGCCCACTTGGCCAACTCTCCCTATGACTATTGTTGTTGTTAGGTGCTGTCAATTGATAGTGACCCCATGTGAAAAGTAGAACAGCTCCATAGGACTTTCTAGGCTGTAATCTTTACAGAAGCAGATTGCCAGGTCTTTTTCCCAAGGAGCTGCTGGGTAGGTTCAAACTGCCAACCTTTTGGTTAGCAGCCAACTGCTTAATCATCGTGCCATCGGGACTCTTTCTCCCTGTGACTACTCCATCATAAGCAAGGCCAGCCCCACAGCCCTGACTATACTCTTGGGCCCTGCAATCACTGTCATTTCATGAGCTTCTTGTCTTATTACCAAACAAAGCAGTAACAATTATGGACATAACTAAATACATATTGGGTTAACTTGGTCATAATGGTTATTTGATTGCAACACTGAGCTGAACTGATGCTAAACTTGACTGACTGTGAAGTTGGACAAATTATTTCTCAAGACCTGAGATCTGAGGGGTCCACTGGCCCAGGAATGAGACCCTGCCTCTTAACCCTATCAGGATGTCCTGACTGGTGTCCTGGGACCCCCTCAGGCTGGCCATTACCATGGTCAACCACAGCCTCAGAATGCTCCTCTGCCCAAGGTCCTTCAGTGTGGATGCTAAGCCCCAGGACTCTGGTCCTGCGTGGCACTCCCAGGGCACAGAGTGAGGGAAGTATGTCTTTTTCAAAGGTCTCTTGGGAAGTTCAGCTATATATCAATCAGGCCATCCCACTTAGAGGAGAGATGGTACCCTACAGTGTCTTAGGGACCACTTTAATATCTGCCCAGGAGACTCAGGAATAGAAACCAAATGAAGAGCCCCATCAATATCCTTCAGCTTGGGTGTCTACTCAGCAAGGACCTGACTGTAGATCACCAGTAGAGACCAACGGGGCACTCTGAATGACTATCCTAGCAAACGAGAGGACAAAGTTTTCCCCACTCCAACTCTATGCCCTGGTCTGCTGGGCATTCTATGGGGGACATTTTGTTAACAGTCTTTGAACAGGGTCCTAAAGCTCACTACAGCAGCTTTTCTCTTTTTTCCTCTCCTCCCCCTACACACACACACACACATTCACCCATCAGATACACACATATCATACACACACATCTACATATCATACACATGCGCACATATCTTACCCAAACCCTAAAATGATGCAGATGGCCACAGATGACCTGGCAGGTTAAACAGTAGTCCAGAAACACCAGTCTGGGCACTGAGGATTCTACACAAATACTATCTCCTCACAGGACTAAGGGAAAGTCCCTCCATGCTCATATTTGAGGTTCTGTTTTAAAATGGGTGGTTTTTATTACTCATTATCCAACACGTGGGTCAGATGCTTTGGCTTCTCCTTTCAATAGTGGCCCCTGAACAAAATCCCCAGGGGCCTCATCATCTTCCTGCTGGGCCTTGCTTGGGGAGGAACAGCTTCAGGACACAAGGTGCGTCTGCCCAAACCTTCTCCTTCTCCACAAGGGAAGAAGGCGGAGAAGAGATGTGAAGGCAGAGAGGGGAGCAGTATTGTTGAGGACCACAGTTCTCTTCTCACACTCCTCAACACTGGGGCAAGGCTAGTGGGGACATGGCAAGAAGCTGAAAACACTAGCTGTGGAGGCGGGAGAAGAGACACCTGGCAGAAGGGGAGGCAACCATGATTCCAAATTATAAATAATGAGGGAAGGAAGGAGCCAACATCCTTCTCCCTACAGGGCCTTGGCCACAGCTGCTGAAAAGGACAGTAAGTAGCAGAACAGATGCTGAATCGCCTGCACCTGGGGCACCTGCTTAATTAAAGCAGGGTGCAGGACTAGGGCACCCTGTCAGTGTCTTCCAAAAGGTACACCAAATGGAGTGGAATTTACGCAGGGGGCAGCCTGATAAAGGAGAAGCAACATGCTGACTTCTGCCCTCAGCAGAAACCACGAGACCCTGAGGAGGGCAACATGACCATACAGCTGGGGAAATTAGGACCGCTCCAGCTCTGTGACCTCCTTTGACCTCTCAGAGCTTTATGTGCCAAGAGCATGGCAAAGACTGAGGCCAAGGCCTACCTCTGGGCAGGCCCCAGCGGAGGCTCAGGTCATAGATGGCCCTCACCCCCACCCGTGAGCCTATTCCTCCTCACCCTAATGGCTCAAGACACTGACGATGTCAGGACAGGTGGCCTCACTCCCACTCCCCCCCACCCCAATATGTCCAGTCTCCCCAAATCATTACGAGGGAGGGTAGAACAAAGTCTGTGGGATATCGTTGTGAGGGTGGAGGACTATCCCTCCAACTCAAACCAAAACAAACTCATTGCCATCAAGTCAATTCTGACTCATAGTGACCCTATAGGACAGAGTAGAACTGTCCCATAGGGTTTCCAGGCTGTAATCTTTATAGAAGCTGATTGCCACATCCTTCTCCCTTGGAGCAGCTGGTAGTTTGAACTGCCAGCCTTTCAGTTAGCAGCCAAGTGCTTAACCACTGTGCCACTAGGGCTCCTTCCCTCTAGCTCAGGAGATGAAATCCTTTACATTCTCTTGATTGGTAAAGAAATTGGAGTAAAGCTTTGCCTTTATATACTCTCCCTAAGAACTTTCACATATTCATTATCTCATTTTAGCCTCACAATAAAACCCCCTTGCAGTCTAGTGACCCTATAGGACACTGTAGAACTGCCCCATAGGGCTTCCAAGGAGCAGATGGTAGATTTGAGGTGCTGACCTTTTGGTTAGCAGCCACAGGTTGCCGTGAAATAAAGCAGAAAGACACTTTCCTCCGCTTTAAAGATACAACAAAGGCCTGGGCAGGGAAAATGACCCCCAAGGACACAGCAAGTAGTCTGTTTCCCCAAACTCGTGTGCACTCTGCCTTGCACTATACTTCTCTACCCCAGCGGCTTTGCTCAAGGCAACAGATAGGAACTAGTCTGAGATACTGGGGGTCATGTGAGCCTCTTCTGCAGTCTCAGGGATGACCACCAACAGTGGCCCACGGCCCACTGGTCTGCTGTCCCCTTTGCTTTCAAGAGGTCTCCTGCTTTTCTGGCACTGTGTCAATAGAGAAGACAAGGAGGAAGAAGGGAGAGAAATGTGTGCTCTGAGCTCTTACCTTTTCTGATCTGAGTCCTGCAGGGAGCTGCCTGAGTCCCAGTCCACGTCCCCCGCTGGTCGCTCTAGGGCCCAGGACAGAAGCTGAGGTCAGGGCAGAGCCAGAAGCTGGGCTCTCAGCTCCATGTAATGAATACTGAGAGCATTTTCTCCAGAAGCAATTTACCCCAAAGAAAAATCAGAGCCCCTGCTGTGTCTCAGCCAGAGAAGTAGAAGCAGAGACTGTCACAGTGACCTCTGGTGGACATTGCCAGGGCTGACAGGACCACCCGGGGCCTCTCAGGCGTGGGGTGAGGAATGAGCTTTTGGAATGGGGAGGAAGGAAGGGAAAGAGGCTATCTTCCTAGGTATGAGCACTTGTACATCTGAGTAGTGTGACTGGCTGAACTCAGCCCAGTTGACAGGACATTTGACTTCTTTGTGGGGAGAGGCTCCTGTTGCTTGCCCCAGCCCGAGAGGGCAATGAGGTCCCCTGGGGGTGAGGGCATGCCATCGGAGAGGAGGTGCAAAAGCCACTGTGGAGAGGGCTACAAGCCACAGGAAGAAGTCATGGTAGCCCCCATATCCAAGCACAGAGGGTGGCCTCCCATTAGTCTGGGTGGACGTGGGGGTCTTCAGCAGCCAGGGCTGCCTGTGAGGTGGTAAAGAATCTATGTCAAAACCAAGAATAAGAAGACATTCTGATGATTTTGATGACAGTCAACTGCGCTCTCCCTCCTTTCCTGCTCCCTCTGCCTAGGCACCCCTTCCCGTTTTCCTCCTTCTGGACTCCTCCCTCCTCTCCCTCCCTCTCCCTCTTTGCCACCTAGACCCCAGAGCAAGTCTCACCTGGTGCAGCTCGGTCCCAGGATGGAGTCCAGGCCAGGATCCCGGCCTTCGGGGGGCCCTGCCCTGAGACACTCAGCATCTCCTGCAGCAGAAGGCGGTTCCTCTCCACCCGCTCAGACAGGGACAAAGCACTGCCCCTAGTGGCCAGGGCCCCCAGGTCTTCAGCTTTCCAGAGCCCCCCCAGCAGGGGTGTCCTGGGGACAAAGCCCTCCTCAGAGCTCAGGGATCTGCTGTCCAGGTCTCCCCCTGTGGCCAGATTGTCTCGAAGGGGAGATGACCTTCCCTGCCTCAGGTTGGGTATGTGGGTGATTTTGTCACAAGGCCCAGGGCCCCCAGGCCGGCTTGGAGCAGCTCTGTGGATGGGGCTCTCTTGCAAAGAGCTAGGCCCTGGCACCAGCCCTCTTTCATGGTCAGGCAGGGTCCATGCTGCTTCCGGAGGCCACGGGCTCCTCCCACTCCAGCACTCCAGCCCAGGGGCAGGCAGCCTGGGGGGTCTGGGGTACCCATTCCTGGCAGGTTCCTTGTCATTGACGCTGCTGTCCATTTGCCCATCTGTCAGGTTCTGAGCACGGGAGACCACCAATGCATCTGGCAGGGGAGACCGCTCTCCACCTCCCTTGACCCGTCTGCATTTGAGTTTCTTGGAGGATGGCCGCTCGTGAGAGGTGGGGCCAGGGCTCGCCCCCTGCTTGTCCGCTGTCCTCTTCTCCTTCAAGGCTCTCACCTTGAACTCCAGCATGGAGGGGCCTTGAAGCTGCACCCTCCCTGCCCTGGGAGGTTGAGGGGCTATCAAGTTGGGTGTTCTGTCTTCCGGAGGGCAAAGCCAGGGCCTCGGGAGGTGTCCATTATCTGGCTGCTGCTCGGGGCCACTTCTCTCTATAGCTGTCGCTTCCATGGGGCTGGCTGTTTTGCTTGCTATCTTGGATCCTCTGGAGAAGAAAACAGAGAGCTCCTGAAACCTAGTGCTAGCCCCAACAACCTCCTGGACCTCCAAGGTGCTTGGATCTTGAGCTCTGCTCAGACGAGAATAACTTGGAGGACGGAACAGGGGATGCCCTCCAGATAACATGAAAGAACTTTGAAAAGTACCAGTCAGTGGACAGTACAAATTATTGACTTTTTTCTTCCAAGTCTGAGTGGTGTTCTAGTTTTCCTATTCCTATTTTACAGATGGGGCAAAATGAAGCTTCAAATGACAGCTAACCCTATGCCATATTAGGACCGAAATGAAAATTACGGCCAGATTTCCCAGTCCCTGGCCTCTTGCTTTGCTGAAGAGTTGTCTCAGTGGAGGAAGTCTACTTTCACTAATAGCCATTCTCCAAGGGGAGCCAGTGTGGATGATGGGCTTTAGGAAGATGCTAAGCAGCATCTGACTGTGTTGGAAGGTGCTACATCCCAGGCTCACCTCTGCCCCCAGTGCCCAAGTCACAAGACCACAGCATGGGGCAGTGCTTAAAGGGTGGCCAGGATCAGTGGCTAACTCCCCTGAGGCATCTGCAAGTGTTTTCAAACACATTCTCTTAGATAACCCTCATACAACTCTGCCAGGATGGTATTATCTCCATTTTACAGTTGGAGAAACTAAGGCTCAGAGGGATTATGTCACACAGGTGCTAAAGGGGAGGCCCAGTTTGGAACCCAAAGCTTCTCATTCCAGGCCCAGGGTTCTTCCAAAACAAGGATGTTTAAACCCACCTCCCACGGGTGTGGATGAGAATATTCTGTCCAGAGGAGTCAAGTGATTTGCTAGCATTTCACAGCTCATTAGCAGCATGGCTGATGTTAAAGTCTTGATAGGGAAGGAAAGTGAGCACAGGGTGTATTCAGGAAGCTTTTGATGTGCACACATACATGCCACAACTTCTTGGTATCTATTCTCTCATCATACGTCTACACGTGTCCCACTTGAAGTAAACTGCATGTATAAAAGCCAATATTCACATAAATGCCGGATTAAGAGTTAATTATTTCATAAATTGACTAAGGATTCACCATGGAATTCTTTGAAATGGCAAGCCCCTCTATAATCATTTATTACTATTCAATTTATACACTACTTTTTAGGAATACATGTGTTTTATAAAGCAAAACACACATACTATTTAAAATGTCACATCAGCTTTAAGTCAGTGAAGCTTAATGACTATCTTTAAGACAGAGATCATTTACTCTACTAGTTGATCTAGAATTTACCATGTATCTCTCTGGAGCCCAGCCACCTATTCCTCTTTTCTATGGACCCGTTAAGAAAATACCCCTTGCTGTCGAGTTGATTCCGACTCATAGCGACCCTATAGGACAGACCAGAACTGCCCCTTCGGGTTTCCAAGTAGCGGCTGGTGGATTCCAACTGCCAACCTTTTGGTTAGCAGCCAAGCTCTTCTTAACCACTGCGCTACCAGGGCGCCAAATGAGAAGATAGTGGGTTGGAATGTAACATTAGCAATTTCAGTTAGATTTAAAAAATCTTTTTGACGGTGTAGAGTCTGGAGCCAGCATTCCAGTAATACACCATCTCCAGAGACTTTAAAAGAATGAGACCCTCCTATTGGGGTAGTTTATCGGGAAAGTTGTTCTGCTTTGAGCCGCCTGATTCTATGAGTCCAGTAACTGTGTTTGCTCTAACTTAGACAAGTAAAATGAAGATGGATGAGAAAGGTGGGCCTCCCCCACGACCCTCTCCGGCTGTGTGACCATGGGAGGCCTGGTCCCCAAGCGGCTGGGGCTCGCCACTCTGCGGCCCTGCCACCCCCGCCCGGCATGCCCGGCGCCTCACCTCCTCCATACTCACTGAGGGCTGCCGCCGGCAGATTTGGCCGCCGCCGCCGCCTCCTCCTCCATCCCCTCCATCCCTCGGAGAGGCGAGACCCTCCTCTAGCCCTGTCTCCCTCCCAGGCCCGCTTCAGGGTACGGGGAGGGATTTCCAGAGTCAAGCCACGGCCGGGCGGGCTCCGGCCAGGGTCTCCGGGAGTGTGGTCCGCAGGCCTCGCCCCTCGGGGCGCGCCGGGCCTGGGGTCCAGGGCAGGGCGGAGGACGGGGCTCAGTTCCCGGCTCTCCGGGCAGCTCCTGGGCCCTGGGTGGGTCCGGCCCAAGCAGCCGCCCCGCGGGCCGCCGCCTCCCTCCCAGTCTGAGGAGAAGCGGGGTCGGGCGGGGGAGGGCGCTGGCAGGGAAGGAAGTGGCATCGGCTGCTAGTTCATGGCTTTGCCATTAAGGGAAAAGAGGCCAAGGATGGCGCCTTTCAGGGCAGGGAAGGAAGAGAGGGAACGGGGAGAGCAAAAAGGAGGGGGGTGGAGCGGAAGGGGCTGGAGAAGCCGGGACCTCTGCCTGCCTCCTTCACCCCCGGCCTTCATGGCCCCTCTGCCCTCGCTGCCGCCCGCCGGTCCCCAGTCCGTCCAGGCCCAGACAGCCAAGTGGAGCTGCTTCTCCTGGCGGCGCCGGCGGCAAGGGAGCGAGTCCCTCACAGACGTCAAAGGGGCCGAAGAAAACCGAGGAAGCGGCCCCAAGTTTGGGAACGACGGGGCCGCTCGCCTCCGGCGCCCGCCGGCCGGGCCCGGCGCTTCCCCAGCCCGCGGCCGCGCCGGACTCGGGTGAGTCGCTGAGCTACCGGCTGGGGGCCACCTTCGCCGGAGACCCAGCTAACCCCTTCCCGACAGGACAGCGGACTCGAAAGCGAAGGCGCGGGCTCCAAAGCGAAGGGACGGGGTTAGCCCCCACGCCCTCCGCAAGCGCAGGGAAGGGGAGAGCGTAGCAGCGGGACGCGCGACTCAACTGGAGCAAAAGCTGAGAAAACACGTTCTTGCCGAGCTTGTAACCCTACACCCAGGGTTTTTGGGTGGGGGAGGAGGCTCGGCCATCGCGGGTGGAAGCTAAGGAATGCCCTTTGTTTAGACAACTTTTCCTGAGGAGTCGGTCTGCCCTTCTCCGGGTACAGTCCCCATCGCCCTAGGGAGCCGTTTCCTCAGAGGTCAAGGTCATTTACTTACGCTTTCTAGAGGCGCGAGTGTAAGACCGGAGTGGACAAGGTCCCCTTATCCTGTCTTGCTAAGGGGACAGCCTAGTGCCCGCATTACCCACAGCCTTGGGTAGGGACCAGTTCTCAGGGTCTTGAGGACTCCTGAAGAGAGGTTGGCACTTTTTCTAGGCCGGGGAGGAAGCAGCAGCAAAGGGCTTTACCTGCAGAGTGGCGCAAGCCAGCGGAGCTTTCTTTCTCTTTCCACCCAGAGGGAGGTGACTGAGCCTCACCTATTTCCAAACCTACTTTTCCACGTAAGACAGGAAGCAACAAGAGAGTTAGGACCCAGGAGATTCCGGAAATCTCTACAAAGGGAAAGTGCTCATTCATCTTTCCTTCAGCCAACAAGCTTCACTCTCAAGCATGGGATGCCCTTTTACTTGTACTTGTGCACTATGGTCACCATCTAGGTGACAGGCACACCAACCGTAAGGACCACACAATGTGCTAAGTGCCCGAGTAAGGGCTGGAGGGGAAGGAAGGCTTGCAGAGAAGGTGCCACTTGAGTGAGTAGGAGTTACCCTCAGAAGGGGGACATCTGGGCTGAGCAGAAGCCCCCAGGCCTGAGAGTACTCTTTGGGGAGGCGTAGCGAGGGGGAAAGAGAGCAGGGGCGCTTGCCCCCTGGCACAAGTCCAAAGGGGCGCCAGACAGGCGCGGAATGCCTCTCGGAGGCACTACAACTATGAAAGGCGCCTGACTAAGGCAGCCGGAGGAGAAGAGTGAAGAAGTTTCTGCTGACGCAGGGCGGCTGCCGACGTCTGTTCATGTTGAACTTGGGCCCTGGACGCGGGTGGGGTGGGGGGGCGCAATTTAGAGATTGTCCCAAGGGCACTGAGAGTAGTTTGGCTGTGGTCTAATCTAGGAACCTGAGAGATTGTCTGGGACAAACCGTCTGTGTCACAGTCCCAAGGGGCACACAGCTCTGGTGACAGGTGGGTCTCCAGTCTGGGGCCAGTACTCTTGCAGCTGATCTTCTTTCCCCTCACAAAGCAGGCAATTCAACAGGGCACTTACTACTCGCTGTCTATTAGTACTGATCACTTAGCAATATCCTTACTGGTAGCATTTATTGAGGGTGTACTGAGCACCAGGCATTGGGCTAAGCACTTTACATACATTATCTCACGTTGCAGCCTTAAGAGATGGATACTATTTATTGTCCCTTTTCTACAAATAAACTGAGTCTAAGTGATCTGCCCAAGATCATAGAGCTAATAAGTGGCAGGTCTTCTAGCGCCCAAGGTCCTTACATCAGCAGTATTGTCGCCAGCATCCTGCTAGTTAAACAAGGAAAGATTTCATTAAAAAAAAATTCCAAGAATTTGTGAGAAAACTGTGAAGTGCTCAAAATAGATACTTAAAATGTGCTGCTGCCTTGGCATGGCCCTTCCTTTCTGGGTCCTTCTCTCTTCCTTATTCCTGCCATCCAAGCCAAAATCCTTAAACCCACGCGTAACTCCTTCCTCTTCTCCATGTGCAGTGTCCAACCTAACAACAATAATACTGTTACTATTATCTGAGACCGCCTATGAGCTAGGTGCTCCTCATAACCAAACCTATCGCTGTCGAGCTGATTCCTACTCATAGGGATCCTATAGGACAGAGTAGAACTGCCCCATAGGGTTTCCAAGGCTGTAATCTTTAGGAGACAGACTGCCACATCTTTCTCCCACGGAGCAGCTGGTGGGTTCGAATCACTGGCCTTTTGGTTAGCAGCCAAGCGCTTAGTTACTGGACCAACAGGGCTCCTTGTGCTTCACATATAGTCTTTTAAATCTTTACAACAACCTTGCAAAGTAGGTATTATTTATCCCCACTTCATTGTTGTTAGGTGCTGTTGAGTCGATTCAACTCCTAGTGACCCCATGTGACAGAATAGAACTGCCCCATAGGGTTTTCTAGGCTATAATCTTTACTAGAGCAGATCGCTAGGTCTTTCTCCCATGAAGCTCCTCAGTAGGTTCTAACCCCAACTTTTTGATTAGCAGCTGAGCGCTTAACCATTGTACCACCAAACCAAAAACCAAACCCACTGCCACTGCCATCGAGTAGATTCTGACGCATAGCGACCCTATAGGACAGAGCAGAACTGCCCCATAGGGTTTCCAAGGCTAACATCTTTACAGAAGCTGACTGCCACACCTTTCTCCTGTGGAGCAGCTTGTGGGTTCCAACTGCCGACCTTTTGGTTAGCAGCCGAGCACTTTTAACTTCTGCACCACCAGGGCTCCTATTGTGCCACCAGGGATAAGGAAATCAGGATGCTCAATATTGAATATACCACGGACTGCCAGAAGAACGAACAAATCTGTCTTGTAAGAAGTACAGCCAGAATGCTCCTTAGAAGCAAGGATGGCAAGACTTTGTCTCACATACTTTGGACATGCTATTAGGAGGGACCCATCCCTGGAGAAGGATAAAGTAGAGGGTCAGTGAAAAAGAGGATGACCCTCAATGAGAGGAATTGACACAGTGGCTGCAATAATGAGCTCAAGCATAGCAACGATTGTGAGGGTGGTGTGAGACCCGGCAGTGTTTTGTTCTGTTGTTCATGGGGTCACTATGAGTTGGAACCGAGTCGAAGGCACCTAACAACAACAAGGCTACACAGCTGGTACAGTCGAATTTGAACCCAATCTGTCTGACTCTAAGATCTTCTGCCTTGCTTCTTTTCAGAGGCATCTTTGAGCTCAGACTCTTAAAGGTAACTTCTCCATGATGCCAGCCCTCTCCCCTCCCCCCGGAAGTTAATGATCTGTGAGGTGAGTTTCTGAAAGGTCCAGCAAAGGCTTAATGTTTAAAAGAAACCTGCCCCCCAACTTTCTGAGATGCAAATAATCACCTTCAGTTTACCCGTTAAATTTGTTTTGCATTGGGGGTGGGGGTGGGGTGGGAGTGTCAAATTTATACAGTCTTTAAAAGCCACCTGTCCGAAAAACACCAATAAGGAAATCCTTAGAATACTATTAAATTCTCATGAGATCCACTTGTCTGAGGGCTTTCTCATTTCACTGGGTTCTGTTTAGTTCAGCAAATATTTGTTGAGCTCCTATTGTGTGTCAGGCACTGGAGAGACAAGTTAATATCATAGACCTCGCCCTAGAGGAATTTCTGGTTAAATTGGGGTGGGGGTGGGGGGAGGGCGCACTAGCGGACTTTCTGTATAAGTGCTCCTATTGAGATTAGCACAGGGTGGTGGTGTAGATCACTCACAGGAATGGCTAGATTGAGGGGTGTGTGCTGGGTGGGAGAAGGTGTCACAGAGAGCTGGGTCTTGGAGAAAGAGCAGGAATTAGCCAGACAGACGGGGAGGGGTGGGAGAAGGCATTTCAGGCAAACGGATTAGCATAAACACAGGCATCGAGGTGTGAAACTGCCTGGTTTCAGCATTACTAAGTATAAAATTCAAACTGAGAAAGGCTAGAGGAGGGATGAGGCTGAAGAGCAGGGGTGGTGTGGGACTCAACTGAGGGCCTCAGGGGTCCTGCTGAGGAGCTTGGATTCCATCCTACCAAGTGGAGTCTCTAGAGGATCAACACCTTAGCCCTTGAATGTGGCTCATTCCTAGGCTGGGGAACTATCTTATTTCCTTATATATCAGGCCCTTTCAATACCAACTTTTGGAGCAAAAACTAGGAGGAAAACAAATACATGGTAAATAGGAACCATGTAGCCCTCTTCCTCCATTTCAACACCTTGGGAAATCCACCATCCTAAAAAACATTTGACTTACCCTGGATGAAAACACCAGTTTTACCATTCCTCACCTCCCTTCCCGCAAAGTGCTCTGCATCCTCAGTTTGAATAAGGACTCATGCAGGACTGATTTCCGGGCTA